TGTCCCCAAACCCCATCCCTGATGTCCCCAACCCTCCATCTCCCCCCAAGAAGGCTCCCCTGGACCCTCTGACCCCCAAAACAGCCCTGTTCCCCCATGCTCACAGAAAGGCCAAGGGCATCTGGGGACACACTGGGGACACTTGGGGGGCTTTGGGGGGGGCACTGGGGGATTACTGGGGCATACTGGGACACACTGGGGGGAACCAGGGGACACTGGGAGGGACTGGGGGGTATTGAACGATGCTGGGAGGGCACTGGGAGGGACTGGGTGATTAATGGGGGATTACCAGGACACACGAGGGGACACTGGGAGGTTACAGGGCCATACTGGGGGTTACTGGGTGCTGACTGGAGGATCACTGGGCCATACTGGGGGGCAGTGGGAGGTCACTGGGAAACACTGGGTGGTCACTGGGGGGGGTTACTATGCCATACTGAGAGCCACTGGGAGGTCACTGGGTTATACTGGGGGCACTGGGATCCCCTTACTGGATGTGGTTCATCTCCCTGCAAAGACTTTGGGCGGCACCACCAAGACCCCTCCCCTGAGAGCGGGGGAATCCCTTAAACCCCACTGAAAGGCTTTAGGGGAAACCTCGTGCTACGCTTCCTGCGGAGTCTCTTTGTGCTGAGTTTTGGGGGTCTTTGGGGTTCGGGGGGAGCATCAGGACCCGCTTTCCCTGCGGTCGGTCCGCCCAGCCGGCAGGGGGCGCTGTGGCACGAGCGGCAATGGCGGCGCCGCGCAAAGCCTAATGGGAGTTGAAGTTCGCTGTTGAGGACTCCGCTGGCGCCTGCGCAGTGCAGCCATGGCGTTTAAATGTTCCCCCCCTCTCCAGGAGGGTTCCAAGGCCCCCAGCCCTTTCAGGGACCTCTTGAACCCCTTCAGGCACCGTCACTCTCCCCTCTGAGCGCCCTCAGGACACCAAATCCCCTCCGCGACCCCCTGAGAGCCGCTCACGAACCTCAAAACCTCCTCGGTACCCCCGAGCCCCTCCTCTCCACTCTGCCGAGCCCTCCAGCCTTCCCGCCCACAGCCGCGCTCCCCGCAGCCCCCGAGCGCATCCCCAGCCCCGCCGCAGCCCCCTCAAGGTCTCACAATGCTGAGCACGTTCCGTTGTCGCCGCCATTACTCTCCCGGCAGCCACCGCGGGGATGTGCGCGCGCCCCGCAGGCAGAGACCCCGCCCCGCCCCCTTTGCCGCGCGGGGCACGCCGGGAGTTGTAGTTGCAGCCGCTCAAAGCTCACGGCGAGATTTGGGCCTGGAGTCCTTTTTCCTCTGCAGGTTTTTAGGCAGCAGCGTGTTTGGGGTTTATGAGGACATGGCCTTTATGAGGAGAGCCACTTAGGAGGTGTTTGGGCTTTCTGAGGA